TGGTCACCACATGTCTTCCTTGTACGGCTTATTAGGTGTTGTTGCGTGCGTATGGATTCATAATAGGTTAAATCTACATGTCTGATGAAAAGTTAATAAAATTTATTCTTATCACAAGAGATGAAAACAAAATGCTGAAATTTTTCCTCACAGATATTCATAGAATATCACAATATCACACAGTAGTTATATTTTTAGAAAGCTAATCCGATCACCCTGCGAATTCGCTACAATCAACAATAAAAACTTAGTGAACTACTGAACTGAGATGTTTTCCTCCGGCTTTAATAAGCTTTTTAATTAGTCACGAGAAGCTTCTCGTAATTTCTCGAGGTTTCTGGAAAGCAAAAGGGTAGAATTACAGTTACAGCTAACACACAAATGCATTATTTCAATTTAAATATAAATTATGATATATCTATTTATTAAATGCACCTGCTCCTGTATTTTTACTTTTTCGGCGTAGATTTCTCTTAAAATTCGTCACGCGCGCATGGGAAAATAAAACAATTTTCATTACAATTCTTCCAAAAAAATAGCTAGCTAAATACAAAATCCGTAACAATATACACATTTTTCCCTGAATTTCATGTAAACTTCACATAAAACTTCATTTCATTAAGGATATATTTCTTATTCAATTTTTTCATTTCTCACTTAGCGACAAGACAAAAATACATAAAAACTCCAAAATATCTTCATTAAAAATTGAAAAATATGGAAAAACGTAAAACGCCACATACAGTTAAAATAATTAAAAAAACAATTTTTTACGATTAAAATTAGAGTTTCTACGCAAACGCAAGCAGTTTGACCAAAGGGCAGGAAGACAGATTTTTCGGCGCACAAGATTGGAAGTTTACTTTTGGTCCTACTCGGCAAAAATATACCGAAGTTGGTGCACAAACTGACTTAATTCACCCTCCTACTAAGAATTTCAAATGTACATAATTGGCAGCCTCATTAGGCATAGCACCACTTTTAAATTGTTGACAGTTCTACAACTATTGCATACACATTAACTAAAGCCATAGAACACTTAACAGGAAAATAAAAACAACATAATTCAAATATTTCGACAGCAAAAAAAGCACAATTTACCAACATATAGGGCTAAGAAACCTGAGCTCACGAAGCTAGATAACAGAGTGAGAATATATTATATATTCCTATACTTTTGGTGCGGCCGATTGCAACCAAAAATGAAGCTGCAGAACTACATATTATAGCAGTCCCATACACAAAATTTCAAAGTCCTAAGGCTATCCGTTTTTGAGTTATGCAAGATACATATATACGTACGTACGTAAATACGTATAGACATCACGAAAAGAATTATTGTCCACCACGTTTTTACTTCGGCCGTCACTGTAGAGAAATTAGGGTAATTTTTTTAAAGCAAGAACGTGGAAAATGTGCAAAGCCCTCACCGGGACTGGAACCTTGGATCTCTTGAGTGAAACCATTACACCACGAAGGCATGCTGGGAGGAGGGAAAAAATGCCTTATAAGGTCACCCAAGATAGCGGGATTTATTGGCGACCAGTAAATTTTTAAAGTCGTAGGTGCCTTTTGATTTAACAATCTCCCGAATTTTACTGCACCGGTGAACCATAGTTTGACTGCCATAGATAGACATCCTTCACTTGACCAGTGACTAACTGGCTAAACAATAAGTGACAACCTTCGGTTCTTTATTCGAATAATCTGTTCTAAGGTCAATGCACTACGTTTTACGTTTATTATTATCTGTCTACGTTTACTATTATCTGGCACTGACTACGCATATGTCATTGGTGAACAACGCTTTTCGCTGTTAGCTTCAGTTTAGTTTTATTTTATTAATATACTTGAAAGGTGAATGTTAAACACATGCCTTCTATATTACGAGATGAGTATTTTAACATCGGTCATCAGTAAGTTTCTTTTTTTTTGTCGCCATTCCGTAAAGTATAAAATGGTAATTTTTCAAATTTAATGAGGAACTTGGCGATATAAAAGAAGTCTGCTTCACTCACAATTTATTCGTTTTTTGAGTATACAAATTCAGCGATTGAAAAGAAATGTTTTCTCCCTATCCGAATTAAAATATTTTTATCTTCCACCCGGCAGTGCCTCATCGTTCAACAAAGTGGAAGATGTTTAATTTTTCTTTCGAATTTTTTCTCTTATTAGTTAACAAACTAAGCAATTTGAAAGCAATAAACGCGAATTAATTTCATCTATGACTAATTATTAGCTGTTCCCGTGAAATGTTCTTTAGTTAGATTCATTAAAATGCTCTCTAGGAACAAAGAAGAATATTTGTTTGTTTGTGTGTATATTCGCAGAAATATACATTCTTATTTCGATCTTGATGAAATTTTGCACACGTAACCTTTGAAAGAAGAAGAAGGTCACTCACTGTCTGCATAAGATTTCGAAAAACTGCCTCAAGAGATAATCTGTCTGTTCACGTCGCCCATTGTGGTATTCCAGCATTCAGTTTCACTAAACTTTCGTTTACCCTTTAGAAATATAGAACTTTCCAGAAGGTGCAGAATTTCTAAGGAATTTAAGTGTTTGTTGGAGAGCTTAAAGAACAACAATCATATTTGTAAACTTTGTAGGAGTATAAGTGACAACAAGTACAATAAGAATGAAATACTGATATAAACTGCTCAAGCACATCCTATACATCGTCTTCCCACAGTATCCACTAACGTAACCAAATACGGGGGGGGGCGAAAAACGTAACCAGTAACTTTGCATTCCTTCTTAGGAATCAGATTCAGGACTCATTTTACCCCTGACACACATCCGCTTGATGTCTATAAATATATCAGCAAAGAACCGCAGTCAAAGAGAAGTTCTCTCTCACCAAGATTCCCCTCATTTTTTTGTTTCCACCCACTCATACAAATATGTTTCAATGGTTTTACTAAAATTACGTCCCTCAGCTGCCTAAGTAAAATGAACGAGATAAGCATTACAAATATAACGCTGATTTTTGTTGTTTGACTTATCCAATAATCATTATTCGGCGTGTTATTTTAACCTAAAGAATTTTAGTACTCAGTTTATCAGTTTTTCTTCAATATTTCAGAAACGGTAAAGAAATCGGCCATTTCGGAAAGCTCATTGCTGAAATAAGACACGAAAGATAACTAATCATGTAACAGATCTTACTAAAACCCTTACATAGAGCCGTGATAGTTTTACATTGATCTACCACTCATCAGTTTGTTCCGCAAAATTGATGACAGAGTGTTTAAAAAACATATTGAACTTAAACATTCCCCACTTCCAGCACAGCCATCACCATTACATATAATTACCAGAGAATCTGTATATGTGCTCTAGACAACAGAAATGGAAAAAAAGATTTCTTCTCCATCAGCGAAAAATAGCCGCTCTTTTGCTAGAAGAATGGCTATAAAGCTTTAATGACCAGAAAAGATCTGTATCTATGCTTTCTAAAAGGGCATCTCTGCAATATTTGTTTTCAAAAAAGGATGAATTTATGACGTATAAACCTACAACAAAGTATTACACTTCTATATGCAGATGTCTGAAATTAGTCTCATCATCCGTAATAAATCCACTGTCTTATGTATAAACCAGAAAGCCTGGCGGTCAAACGAAATGACCGATTGTAAATTGTAATTAAAATGATTTGCGCAAAGGTGTCCGCTAATTTAAACTGAATTACGAAGGGCAGACGGTGAGGACCCTCCTTTGCTTACTGCCTAACGGGGTTTGCCCCTTCTACTTGCTTAATTGCTTGAAGTAGAGTGCAATGAAGGAAACCACTGGCGGTACATTTCTTAAGAGCCACCGCTAGCTCAATAAATAAAGGGGATTTAAATAATAAAATGTTAATTCCCATGTCAAAGATCTCTTTGTACACAACATTTCTTGCATAGATCTTTCCACCACTTTAAAGCTCGCCTTGCAGAGGACCATCCATTGCTTTTAATTTTACGTCAATTCTTTCACGAACATAGAGGCAACACAACGTTGACCGTGTCCAAATGCAGGCTCAGGTAAAAAAATGCCAACACGCTTAAGCGTTTGGCCCTTAGACTTGTGGTCATAGCAAAGGCAAGTTTTACAGGAAAACGTCTCAATTGAAACGGCAACCCTGTGCCGTGGCAACTTCACCCCATTGGCTAGTACAGTTACGCAAGCAACCCATAAACTATCGGCGACAAACAGACACTAAAGCCGGATATAATAAAGATATTTATTTATTTCATTTTACTTGTTTTTTCTTCGTTGCCGGATTTTGCCGGTTGCATATTTCCGAATTCTATTATATACAGATGTTAAATTTATTTATTGAATGTTAAATGCACGTGCTCTTGTATTTTTAATTTTTCCGGCTTAGCTTTCTCATAATATTCGTCACGCGTTGCACTGCACGAGAAATAAAACAATTCACAGTTACGCAAACAACCAATGAACTATCGGCGACAAACACTTAAGCAGCTTATATATATATATATTGTGGGTAGATGTATGTATTTCTGCTTTTCTCTGAAAAATAATCTTCTGCCCCCAAGAAATTATTTGAAAGCCGCCTTGAATCTGAACATATCACCAGAACCTTTTTTAACTAAGTCCACAAGGCTTGGGTTTATGTCCTCAGATTTCAAGAAACCTTAAAATAATTAAATAACTCCTAATATAATTCCTTTTATCAAAAACATGGAAAGTTGAGACTTAAATTTCTGATAATCGGATCCTACAAATTATCTGTCTGAACTCTCTTAATTGGGTCCTACAAAATATCCATTTAAATTTGTCAAAGTTGTTTTCAGAACATGATACTGATAGAAAGTCCTGGATAGGATGCTGGTTTCAAATATATTTCACAGTGTAATGAGGTATGTCGAAAGGATTTACTAATTCCTGTAAGTGAGAATGGGTTGAATGCAATAGCGTTTACAAATTCCTGTAGATGTTGTATCTCAAGCTTGCCTTCCGCGATAAACTCCGATATTCTTTCCTCTTGCAGAATGCTTGATTCAGTAGAAGTGTACGACCCGGAGTCAAATTCCTGGGAAGAACTGAGCGAAGGTCTGAATACACCCACTATGGGCGTGGGAGCGAGCTCATACAAAGGAAAGTTGTGGGTATGTGGAGGTATGGTTCAAGACATGAATGGGAAGATATGCGTCGTTAAAGAAGTCCAATGCTACGATCCCAAAATAAAAGAGTGAGTATTCCTAGAACTGTTTATTCTAAAATGTTTTCTTACGATTTGCACTAAGTACACTGCGAAAAAAAAAATGGGACAGTTCTATATCTCCCGTTCTACAGGGCTGAATAACGAAATTCAACTTGCGTTTTTTATGTTTCAAAAGCGCGACTTTGGATATTATAAGATTTATATATATCATTGTTCTAATATAGGTATTTGGACACAAAATCGGACTTTTTGTGATATGACATACCAATGTTTTTCCATATTTCAATTCTGCGACAGTTATGCCAAACTGGCAAGTTTTGTAAAAATCGCACGAGTAGGTTTTTAAAAAATTAGCTTTCATAATTTTAGCTCCTCAATGTTAATTGAATTTGATACATATTTATTAATATCTGTTACTTTATTAAATTTACTTGTTTCCTTCTTCCAGAATTCAAAATTTAGGTTCATTTCAAATAAAATTCGTCCATTTTTTTATGATTTATTTTTTAAATTTGTATGTTTAGATAATTTTTATAAATTTTTCGAAAAACATTTTGAATTATGACCTACAAAATTTTTATCATCATCTTAAAGTAGATCTTAAAGTAGATTTTTTATTCAAAATTTTCTCGGTTGTACGTGAATTTACTTTTTGGCGCGTTTCGAAATTTGATATATTTGTTATAAGCGACAATAACGCCAAATGTGGTTTACGCTCTTTGTTAAAATTATTTGAAATAATGAACGATGACTTTTTACCGTTCGTTTACAATAAAAAAAGGAAAGGAAACTAGGTTGCAATAAATTAAGAAGTTCGCCAAGTGAATTATTCTTGGCGCAAACTGAAAAAATTACGCCAATATATACTTTTAAATTTCTCCATAAATTTCGCACCAAATTTTACAAAATTTAATATTTAGGCATAATTTGACTCGTAGAATCGAAAGATGGAAAACGATTGTCATGTCATTTCAGAAAAAGTCCGATTTTGTGTCACAATACCTATATTAGAATAGTGCTATGTAAAAATGTAGTACATATCCTAAGTCGCCCTTTCGAGGCATGAAAAACGCAATTTGAATTTCGTCAATTAATCCAGTAGAACGGGAGATATAGAACTGTCCTTTTTACTTCCTTGTACGAAGTAAAGAGGAAGTATTGTAATCGCGAAAAGTTTCAGGCAGCATATTTCAAAGAAAATATCCATTTTGACCTTATGGAATGCAATTTAACGATGTTTAGAGAATTTTTCGTGGTGTCTGTACGTACGTACGTACGTATGTATCTCGAATAACTCAAAGACGAGTAGCCTCAGAACAATGAAATTTTGTGTATAGGACTGCTATAACATGTAGATGTGCACCTCGTATTTTGGTTGCAATCGGTCGCACCAATCGTATATAAATATATTTATATATATATCCACGCTGTTACCCGGCTCAGAGATCTCTTTCTTTACTCTTATATGTTTGTAAATTGTGCATTTTTTGCTTTAAAAATGATTGAATTATGTTGTTCTTATCTTCCAATTAAGATTTTCATGCCTTTAGGAATTCCACAAGCAATATTTGTAGAATTATCATGAATTTAAAAGCTGTTTATGTTCAGTTAAGCCTAATTTTTAAGTAACATGACGGACATATTTGCTTACATTTGAAACAGCAGAATAGTAGATTTGTTGCCAATCTAGAGAGATTAAGCTTCGCAACAACAAAGATAACGCCTTCATTTATTATTGCGAATTAAATCATGATTAATCCTTTCTGGAATTTTTCGAGGAAATAAGTGCTTAGGATTTACTTCAAAATTTTTAATGCAGATATTTTGAGTTTTTATGTATTTTTGCCTTGTCGCAAAGTGAGAGCTTAATTAATTGAATGAGAAAACTGATTCTTTTCTGTTTTGTTTGCTTAATTTCTTTCATGCATCGTTTTAGCTTTATTATAGTATTTGAATAGAACATGTGGCAACGATAATTCTTGAAATGATATAAATTTTGTGCATTCAGAGTGCCGTTATAGTGAACAAATATAGTGAATTTTAAAGAGTGCATTTATTCTAATGTGGTTTATGCGCTGTCGACGAAGTAGATTTAATTCAATCCAATCAATTTAAATGAAATTCAAGAAAAAATGCGTATAATTTAATATTCCGTACAAGGAAGTCATATGGTGTACACATCAGATTTTTTTCCTTCTGTTTCATGGAATAATGAAATTATAAAATCTTTCAAAGATGCTGTTTATATCAAAAGCAATCTTAAGCGCTTAGATTTCATAAATAGCCGAGTTCATGAATTTAGTGCAAAAACCAAAACATGAAGATCTCGATCTAACCATAAAGGCATTGTGCACTAGTATGCGTATTATTATTATTGCAGTTTTGTTGCATTCTGTTCCTTTCATATTGCAGAAAATATTTCCTTTTCAAGTGTTACTTTTCGCCAGCTTGTACTCCAACGACGAGTTTATTGTAGAGTCATTAGGTTCTTTTTGAAGCAGTAGACATGGAAAATGAACAATACCTTCGCCGGTGCTCAAATCTGGACCTCTCGAATACGCGCGAGTATGCTACCTTTACATCGAGAAGGCAGGCTGAAAAGAGGGAGAAATTCCTTATATATACTCCCCCTTTCAAAGGGTGACTGGGAATAAGGGGACCAATAACCAAATCCTGAACCTTTTAGTTTGTCTACCACCTTTCAGTTTGGACGCCACTGTAGAGTATTTAGGTTATTTCTGAAGACACACCACGAAGGGTAACGGTGAAAGGGCTGGGGCAATACCTTCTAAGTTATATCGTATAGTCGATGCTTACTATTTATAGTCATCCCTAACCATTTCTCTGCATTAGTTGCTTGCATCTTTACCTGGACTGAGCTTTTGTGTTTGCGAAATGAAGGGTGCAGAATGCTTTTATGCTTGCCAGCGAAGAGAGACTCGAGTGTAAGTAGTTAACAGGGCATTTTACGGAGTACATAGTAAATTTAGCATATTAAGCATCTTAAGTTAATAAAAGTAATTCTGAAAATTTGCTTTAAATTATTAATTGGGATTATTAGTCCAAAGGGGCAACTTGCCCAGAAGGACTATTAATTTCGTTTTGGCATTTTTGCGTTGATTCACTACAAGCGTTGTAACACTTTTCAAATTGCTGCCACCGTGTCTTTAACTTTTGAAACTTGCTTGCAAAACCATTTGAAAGTGTTAGGAGTGACTTGACCACTGAACGTATCTGTTTTCGTGAAATCCAAACTGCTGTTCTCTGCTTTTGTTCGTTTTATTTATGTATGCAACTTTTAATGTTTTAGTTAACTTACTTCTGTAAGCCCCGTGTTGTACATCTGTGTTTCACGGGGAATTTGTATGTTTCCAAATTAAAAAAAAAATTGTTGCCACCAAATATTATTGCCCTGTATTATATTTGAAGAAATTACATAATGAAGAATAATCATAAATGCATGTATTTTTCTCGAATTATGATAAAACAACGGTACTAGAGCCATCCAGTTATGAATAACGTAATCCTCCTGCGAGTACGGGCATGTGGAAGCCCAGATTTGAAATTTAGAATTTATTTTATTATCGATTTCATATTTTGTAAAACTTTAACGAATTTTTGATTAACAAACTCAAGGATTTCAAAGTAAGCCATGTCTTCGTTGTACAGAAAAAAACCTTTTTATCTCCAACGCGCGAGACTGTGTATCGGAAATTCTAATGATATGCAAATTTTAAAATTATTTTGCGATATTGCTCTTGAACTGAATTTTATGGTGAGAAGAACATGATATTTAATAAATAAAAGTAACAAACAAAACAAAATGTTAAAAAAATGCCCCTTTGGACTTAATTTAAAATCTGAAACATTTCAGATTTTTTTTTAAGTGTTTTTATTATTTATTGTTAAGTTAAATTTTTTTTGAGTTTCAGTGCTTATACATTTTATTCTAAAGTTAGCCTCAAGATTTTTGAGAACGTATTTGTTGATTAACTGGTACCGTTTAAGGCTCAGCCAATTTTCAAAGCGCATATTTATTGCTTTCAGTCTGCTTAGTTTAAGCAATTAATAGACTGAATAAATTTGAAAAGTAAATTTAAGCTCTTACCTTGCCGAGTGGCAACGCTCTAAGAAATGATTATTTGGTTGTCAGTGTGTGAAAGATTAATTGATAATGTCTCGTGCAGTGACAAAGTGACAGCGCAATTTAATATTACGACTTGAAATTTTGAAATCACTTCTCTGTAGATATTTTTACTTCCTTGTACGAAGTAAAAAGGAAGTATTGTAATCGCGAAAAACTTCAGGCAGCATATTTCAACGAAAATATCCACTTTGACCGTTTTCGAATGCAATTTAACGATGTTTTTGCGTGATATCTGTACGTAAGGAAAGAATAAAAGACTCTTTTCTCCAAAAAAAAGAAAAACTAAAAAACTGCTTTAAAAGGAATTCTGAAGAGAATTTTTCGTGGCGTCTGTATGAACGTATGTACGTACGTGCCTCGCATAACTCAAAAACGAGTAGCCTCAGAATGTTGAAATTTTGTATATAAGACTACTATAACATGTAGATGTGCATCTCGTATTTTGGTTTCAATCGGCCTCGCCAAACGTATAAAATATATTTATAAATATATCCACTCTGTAACCCGGCTCAGTGATCTCAGTTTCTTGACTCTTATATGTTTGTAAATTGTACATTTTTTGCTTTAAAAACGCTTGAATTATGTGGTTTTTATCTTCCGGTTAAGGGTTTTATGCCTTTAGTAAATCTGTATGCAATATTTTTAGAATTATCAACAATTTTAAAATTGTTTAAGTGTCGCTAAGCCTAATTTGATGGCGGCCATTGCTCTTGTTTACATTTGAAACAGATGAGTAGCGGATTTGTTACCAGTCTAGATAAACTTAGCTTCGCAACAACAAAGATTACGCCTTCATTTATTATTTAAATCATGCTTAATCCTTTCTGGAATTTTTTCGCGGAAATAAGCGTTTAAGATATACTTCGTAATTTTTAATACAGACATTTTGAGTTTTTATGTATTTTTGCCTTGTCGCGAAGTGAGAACTGAATTAATTGAATGGGAAACACTGAATTCGTCTGTGAAAAAGTTTCTTTTTTGTTTTGTTTGTTTAATTTCTTTTATATATCGTTCTAGATTTATTATAGTATTTGAATAGAACATGTGGTAACGATTAGATAATTCTTCAAATAATAAATTTTGTGCATTCTGAGTTAAAATACGAATGAAATATAACGCTGTTAATTTCATTCATATTACCTAGCGCTAGAGTGTCGCTATGGTAAACAAAAAGAGTGAATTTTGAAGAGTGCATTTATCTATTGTGGTTTATGCGCTATCGACGAAGTAAATTCAATTCAATCCAATACGTTTAAATGAAATGCAAGAAAAAATGCGCATAATTTAATATTCCGTTCAAGGAAGTCACGTGGTGTACACATCAGATTTTTTTAATTATTTATTTTTGTAATTGCATTTTTAATTTATATCTTTCTCTTTACATCGCAAATAGCCGGTTCTCAGAATTTTGCCATTCAGTAAAGAACAAATCTTTACCTTATCTTTCATACCTAATCAGTGTATAATTAACGACTAGACTAAACGACTTAATTTAAACTAGACTGAACGACTTAATTTAAACTCTCTTCTTAGTAATTTAAATATGAATCTTGTTTTCTAACTACTTCTCTAAGCGGTATAGCTAAAAGTATATTTAATCTATCCAACTGAATTCATTAATTAACTAAATCCTGTTAATAATGTTTATGAACATTTATAAATTATTGCAAATAATAAAAAATATATATTTCAAATCTGTAACAAACTAAGGCTGCTTTTTTTTTTTTTTACCTAAAATTAATAAAACGTATCGTTGGCGCCCGTGCTAGGTACTACAAAAAAGAATGACATTTTTTTCATTCGATGTTATCAGTTTTATATGGAATTAAGTCTTGAGGAAAAGCTTTGTGTGATTCGAGAAGTAGCAGAAGACTTAATACCCCCAAAGTTTAGTCATCTTTAGTGTCATTTATGCTACATTTCAGGTGGAGTTATGGAGTGAAGCAGCTGCCTTGCCCTCGCTCCTTTGCAACCGCCGTGCGATGCAAGAACCTTCTGTTCCTTGTAGGTGGAACATCTTATAAAAACGCAGAATGGGACTCAGAAGAGATGAAGAGTCTGTGCGATGTCATCTGCTATGACGACGCGCGACGAACGTGGTGCTCATCTACACCCCTGCCTTATCCGCGCCATTTTGTGGGAGCAGCTGTGATTGGTAAGATGACTTTTCTGCTCGCTTCTGCACGAGTAGTTATTATTATTTATCCTCTTGAACTAGAGATACCTACAGAAATCAGGTTCACATATTATTTATTAGTGGGCAAAAAGAAATAAGTATCTTGTAGGTTAAAGGTATGAATTCTGCCCAACTTCATCCTGATTCAAATGGACCAATCCATTTGAATTTGAATTTCAATTTTACTGCACTGGCAGGGCAGCGTCTTAGCGTATAGCTATTCTTTACCGGCAGTGGATTTTTCAAAATACAAAACCTATAACAGTCATATAATTCGGCTATGTTGAAATAAACTCGATGACAGGGCTGTGAAGTGAATCTCTGTTCACAATCAGTGTGAATATACACATGATACATAGGGTAACTGTTTGTAATAATCGGGACATCCTAGCAATAATATCCTTTAATTGCATTACAAAATATAATGGTGGCAGACCCCGAAAGCTTTGTAAGGTACATATTGGTCTGGTTTGGTAGAAATGTAATGGGACAACCAATGTTTACGATAAGTAATGTAGGTATAGTACCACAACACTTCGATCTAGAGAAAGCCCAAAAGATGACAGGGTTCACCAAGCTGTCGTGGCTCGAAACATTTATTTTATCTCACACTGACAGTCCCGAAACCTCTCGTGAACCTCGAGACTCGCAATGTTCACGGGAGGTCTCGGCACTGTCGGTGTATATTGGTGTCGTACAAAAACAACTTGATCAGTAATGCTCGATTTTGGTTTCTAAAGGCAGAATGAAGAATGGTTTTATGGCACTGTCAACTGGTATTTTAACCCTCTGAGAGGCCCGGGTTTTTGAATCTGTCATGAAGACCTGTATTTAAAGAGCCTTTATTAGATAAATATGTATATTTACCTATTTTAGTCTCTATTTTCATAAATTTACATTCATCCAGATGGCATTTATATTATTAATGAAAGTAAGAAAGCAAACTATCTTAAATTATAAGCTAATGCATAACAAGTGAGAAAAAATCTCATGATCGGATAAAGCCGATCATGGGGCTCAGAGGAAACGCTCCAAATTTGTATAATGTCCTTTCTACATTGCACGAAAAGCTTCATCTTTCGATAGAAATTAACTAATATTTTTTACTGCAGTTTCCTTTTTCGTATGCTCCATATAACGTGAATACCAAGTTTCAAAGAAATAGGTTTACCGGAACGTACTCTACATAGGTCTGAATAGAGAAACTTTAATTAGAACTATCCCGTATAGAAATATAGATTTAAGTATATAAACCCTTTAACTGCTTTTTTAAACGTTTTCGGAGTTTCCTTTAAAAATGCTTAAGACGTATTTACACGAATTTTAAATCGCACGAAAAATGTTTAAGACGTGTATACACAAAGCCCAAATTTCGCGAAAAATGCTTAAGACGTGTTTAGACGATGCAATCAGGTCTTCCTTCCCCTACCTTTCTGCAGGCGGCTGTCAGTTGACACAAATGTCTTAATAGGGTGTGAAGTCTGTTTGAAAAGAACACTTTACGGAAGGGTCCTGAGACTGAAGAATCACTGTCAGACAGCAGGTGCGCATTATATTTCCGACGACTGCAAGCTTGTGAATCGTTTTACAACAGTTTGCCTTGTGGTTATTTATACAAATAAAAGTCAAACAGAATCGTTCATTGTTATAGTACATTACCGAAATTTAGAAGAAACAGGAAAAAGTAACAATTCTAACGTAAAATGTACTTTTTAATAAATCATATATTATAACAATGTATTAAAAGTTGACTACAATTTCTGATTCGTCAAGAACAGGATAAAATGTAAAATGTTGCAAACACCTATTTTGTTTGCTCTCGTATTTCAAGTGCGGGTGTTTTTAATGATATATTTTTCCTTTTTACATTTTTAAATGTTAAAACTGTGTTTTCAGTATGCCTGATTTTTGTATTCGTATATGTGGCTGTGTCGTAAACGTGAACTGACATATAAAAATTTCTTGGATGTCGAAAGGAAGATATTCTACTCGGAAACTTCAATTAAATCGAATAAATTCACATGCTGAAAGAATTTCTAGAAATATTTGTTTTTAAAAATTTTATTATTAAGATTTGAAGTACAAAATAGTTTTAAAATCTAGGGAAAAAGTGCGCGTTTTTTGGAAAGAAATCTACCGGTATAAAATCGCATAAATTTAACGGAGTGTAAGTTAAGTAAAAAAGTTAGTGTATGAAAGGGTTACATATACTGCGCACAAATTTAGTCAGAGGAACAATACTCTGACTAGTAAGATAAAAGTAAGATAAAATTTTCTTTTTAATTTATGACAGTCTTAGTTTTATTTGGGTACCCCTCCATTCTGTATTAAAATTAGTGAAATATTTATAATACGCGTCATTTCAAAATTAATTCTGTAATGTGGTTCTTATACATCGCCTGATAGGAAACTTGCCACATTGCTAAGAAACAAACCTATTGCCACGCAAATTCGTACACTGCACATGTACATTATGAAAATGAATTCATTTGTAAGCCACCTAGACGATTAGATTACCGGATATTATGCATCCAAACAATGTATTGAGTCATCTCTTTTGGCATCATCACAGCTAAGATGTACGGGGGTTACCTGCTGTTTCTTGAGTATGGAAGTGCTACAAAACCTCGAGGTTACGAAGAACTTCATGTTAGGCCCTGTGTCTTTGTTTGGTCCTCGCTCCGTATTATAGAGGAAATTTTCGATTAATGTCAGAACTATTGATGTAAGTTGGGGACAATTGATTTAGAAAGGAAATGTGCAGCGCCATAGCTGTTCCGGAATAAGGAGACAGACATCAAAATGCACTAATCGACGCATACGACATCTGACCACGATCCACAACCGGAAATATTTTGCGAAATGTACAGGAGGGTGTATTGTTCGAATATCTACCGGGACACTTTCACAAGGACTGGCTGAAGCAGGTACGATTTCCAGCAGTCCTTAACAAATGGTATCATTAATAGTTAGCTATTGCAGGGTTCATTTGCAGTAGTGTCGCGTTGAGTTGGATAGAATGTGCGTATTCAGCAACGAACCTCGCTTGCGTTATGTTTAGTACTCGTTGTGTCCACTTCTTCTCCTTTATCGTATCTTCATCTAGACATTCCAAATGTTATTCTTCAACAAGGTTAATACCTAGCCTCACACTCCTGCTTGGCTCACTTTGAATGCATTGCAAGGTTTGCAAATACACCTTTACTCAAATTAATTCCCGATGTGACCATTTGTGGACATGGGGCATCGGTTGAATTCCTCCCATCCCTTCCCAAACGAAGATGAATTACAAGATTACATAAGACACAGAATGCGCTTAATACCACACGTCAGGATTGGGAAACCACTCAGTGCAAAGATGTATTCATGACTGCATTGCATATGAAGCACTGAAGATTGTGGTACTTATCTTTCACTAGTAATGATGGTTTGTGCATACCCACAAGATTTGCACATATTATAAGGCCATTTTCTCCCTCCTTTCTGCATATCTTCGCAGCGTAACGGTAGCACAGTTGGCGCGTATTCGAGAGGTCCAAATTAGACTTAGCAAGGCATTGCTCATTTTTCCTGTAGTCCTGCTTCAAAAATACCTAATGCCTCTACAATATCATGATAGTCCACGGTCCTTCTTCTGCTTGAAAGTACAGTTTGAAATTGACATGGGAAGACCACTTCGTAATAATCCAGCCTCATTGACACCAGATATGTATGTTTTCTATAGTCACATTATTTTCGTCTGAAATTCTTTGAAACTGCACTATAAACTCGTTCGCAGACACTTCATCTGAAGTTCTCTGATCACTCAGCATATCTAACTTGCGAATTAGAGGCCTTTTTGGCCGGAAATATAAGATCTCACTCTGATCTTTTAAATGTAAACTATTCATATAATGTGATCTAATTCTTCCTGACGGGATTGGTGCATAGTTTTCCGACTTTCTGCAACTTTTGTACATTTTGTTCACATGAAAAAACTCCACAATGCCCACCTTTTTCTTTAGGTCATATAAAGTTCCAACTCTGTATTCGTCCACTAATTTCGTTCTGTTGATTCTTCTCTCCATTTTCTCGAACAATTCTAATTTTATCTTATTTAGCCCATTACCTATTTGTTTTATATGTGTAAGATAAAAAGTATGAAAGCAAACTTCTAAATTTAATTCACTATAACCTCTTTTATTTTCTATTTCATTTGGAAACTCCATCTCTCTGTTCTAAAAATAGCGCTTAAGTCTTAACTGCATCATTCAAATTAATCATGCAATCTTACGTAACCCTTAAGAGGGCTCATACACTTTAAACCCCTTATGATCTTAGAATATGTGACTGTTGCAGGAATTGGAATATTTTATTTATTTTAAAAGCAACTACTTCCAATTTCTTACAGCTGACTACAAAATATAGCTTCTTTGGAAACTAGTAACCAGAAAGTTTGTGTTGCCACAAATATTTTTTGTAATTTAATCCGCTTTGTGACAAAATGTTTCGTCATGTTTCCACCTTACACGCATAATATTTTAAAAATGGCTAATGGTATATAATTAAAATTGGATGGAATTCTTTATATGGGCACTATTCTCTAACTGAACTAAAACCCTGATGAATATTTTAGAATTAAAAAATTTTATGCACGAAAACATTACAGATTTTTTTTAATAAGAAACATTTTATAAAATCAACTCCAAATAAAATAAAAATTTAACATCAAATTCTTAGAATTTTTTGGTTTACAGTAGTTTCCAAATGTTATAAAAACTAGATATTAAATATGCAATTAAATTATGCAATAGAATGTTTTAAACTATGCGCGCAAGGTGAAAACATGACAAAACATTTTGTCACAAATCGTATTAAATTATAAAAATATTTGTATCAACATAAACTTTCTGATTACTATTTCAGAAAGCAGCTATATTATGTAGTCAGCTGTAAACGGTTGGAAGTAATTGCTTTTAAAATAAATAAGTTATCCCAATTCTTGTAACAGTCACATATTCGAAGTTCTTATGGGTTTTAAGATGTACAAGTCCCCTTAATGCAGATGCCTCTTGACCAATCACGAAATTGCAAACCAAAACTTTTCTCTTCGCGTGCTTCCATCTTGCATAACTACACAGTTCAGCTTTGCTCTCTACTGTGCTGAGATGTTATTTCGCTGGCTTGCTTTCTATCTCAACAATATAAAAAATGTAAATCTTCTGTGTAAAGGCACGACTAGACTGCCAAGTGATTGTGGCCACAAATACCAATTGCAAATAAAAATGGAATTAAAACTGCCTCGACAGCCAAGTTCTTTAGATATTACCAAGTTAACATTATGAGCATACTACGGAATCAAAATTCTTCTTCAGTATGGATCTAAGCACGCATCGACACTGCTCCGGCTTTTCCTTGTGCTTATATATATATATATATATATATATATGATGTGCCAGCTTTTGTCTGGAATAAATAGATTGGCAGATAATCATAAATATAGTCGTAGCTTAAATTATCAGACGATAAGTTTAAAAAACAGAATCCATTTATTATTATTCAGGAGAAATAGCAGTTACAAAATCAGATATCCGGAGTAAATAAAAAGAATTACTAATAACTTTTGTATGGAGTTTACTGCATCGTTACATTAAAGAAAAGCCCCCGATATTCCTTTGCGAGTCCTTTTATAGCCTCTGAAAAGGCGGAGCTTCCGAGAAATGACGTCAGCCTCGTCAGCCAATCCAGTTCGCTTTAAATATCTCGAGAACATTCTATAACTGTGCGTGTAGAAAAGGCGGGAAAAACAACTTGACTTCGGGGCTGTGGATTTAATTCCACGTACTTTCAAATAAGAGAACGTCGCCATTAAAAATGAAAAGAACATACAGTTAGACTTTTAAGTGTAATCTTGACTATGGAGTTTTATTATTACATATATACAGGCTTAGATTAGAAAAAAGACCGGAAGGTTGCTGTTAGAGGTGGATATGACTTGAAATCAAGATCTGGAGAATGTTTCAGTATAACAAGAAATCTCAGACTTGCAAACCGCCTTTATTTGGGCATAATTTGGGCATACTGAAGGAACGCGGCACATTGCTGCTGAAGGATTTCGAGCAGATGTTTCACGTATTGAGAATACTCCAAATAGTGATAAAGAAAAGGAGGCAGATTGCATGTTAGCGGGACAAAAATGCGCTTACGAACAGCACGATTATGTTATTTTATAGCATACTGAGGAAGGTTAAGTTACCTCATGTCTCAAATTGACATATTATCTGTTTACTATTGTTGTCTCAGTAAAAGATTCACTTGAATTATAACTTGACATAAAGTATTATGTCCAATTTTAAAATTATGCAAGCACATATGTCATTTGCTTTTCATAAGAATCATAAAGATAGCTCTCGAATTTAGGATGACGAACTTCATAATGTTTTCTTATAAGCAGTTTACTGTTTTTAGAACAGAAAAGGGGAAAGCCCCAAATCAAAACAAAGACTTTAGGAGCATAAATTAATGTTCAAATTTTATCTTACGCATTACTTTGATTTAATTTTATATATTTCTTGAAATATTTTACTTTTAGTATGCTATTAATTTCAGCAACTCTGATTGAGCTTTGAATGAAAACTTTTCCACTGACCTTTCAAATAATGTTTGGCTTATGCATAGATTGATGTTATTGATATAGAGCAATACTTTATTTTTAGACGTTCAGCTGTTTTCATTGTAAGGATTATGTTAATTTTATTAACAGTTAAATTTTGAGTTAAATTTCCTTTCCTATCGATTCTTAATTTCAACTTACCACTTCCGGCCAGAACGTAGTTTTAGAATCACGTCTGAATGCTAACGAGGAAGAGCGATATATAACCGCGAAGTTCTACAGTCTACAGTGAGAGAGATACCAGATATTCTGGCTGCACGCGTCCGCCATTTTAGGCTACTCTCTCGTAGGCTATTATTACGCTCGGCTGTACTTTAGGCTCTTGATAGCTTCGCAGTCAATTAGCATTAAGGGGGAAATTCTGTTAGAATTTTGATAGCGTCGGATATACCTCTTTAGTTAAGATTTAGTTTAATTCTTAGTCTCTTAAGTTCAAGCCCGTGTGTCGGCTTTATTGTACAACTCCAAGACGAAGTTAAGCTTTAATTGGAATGATAAAGGGTTATTTTACTCTTCTATCTTGTTGTTTCCTGTCACACGAACTCAAGCGATTATTCGCTTGTCAGTTCTTAAGATTCTTTACTTCCAACAGTAACTTAGAATTACACAGTGGAGAATTCTACATCATAAAATTTGTTGTTTTTCTGCTCATACCTCTTTGCGATCACAAAATACTACGACAAATAAACGCTAGAGCTGCCAAACTGATTTTTCAGTTGAATTTTAATTTTATTGAAAGTTAAGATTTAGTCTTAAAGGTTGGAAACATCAGGTATTATTAGCCCAAAAGAACAATCGTTTGCCCAAAGAGGGTCGTAGACTTAAAACGGGATTTTGCAAAGTCCATTATAAATGAAGTGTCACTTTTCAAATTGCTGCCATCCAATATTATCGCCCTGTTTTATTTTTAAAGAAATTAACTATTGAAGAATCTGCATATATGTATGTATGTATGTTTCTCATATTGTGAAAAAAACGAGAATAGCTGTGGCCATCCAATTTTGAATAACGTAATTCTCCACCTGAAGATACCTCGAAGCCCGAATTTTCAATTTCATATTTTATAAAATTTTAATGAATTTTTGATGAACTTGCGATCTGAAAGCGAGCAGTGCTAACTCTGTACGGAATTAAAAATTTATCTCTAGCGCGCGAGACTGCATATCAGAAATCCCAAATATATGATGTTTTCAGAAATTTTGTGATTTTTCCTTTGAATTGAATTTTATGTGGTGTTAAGTGCGAAGAATATGATATTTAATTAATAAATTTAATACAGAAATCGTTAATAATAAATAGACAAAAAAACGTTCTGCAAGCGATCTTACTAAGAAAACTGAACATTGATTTGATGAACTGACAAAAGAAAACTTAAAAAAATAAAAATGTGTAATGAAATTATGTGCCAGCACTTAGCATCCTAAACATATGCTGATATACTGCTTTTAAAAGTTTTGTAATTTTGCTGTTATATTATATATGGCGTAATAGCGAAGAACATGATGCTTAATAATAAAGCTAAAAATACAAAAAGAAATGGGTTAGTAGGGTTGAATGCAAGAGCAGAGCTCAGTGAAAGAAAAAGCGACCCTAGCAAATTCTTTTGGGAGACCGTTAAAATCTGAATCATTTCAGATTTAGTTATTTATTTATTTTATTTATTTCTTTAAAGCTTCCGTCACCTTATTAGAGAAGAATGCACTAGGAAATTTCGCAATCTCGCTTCTAAAATGCAATTCCTTTCTATTCATTTTCCTAAAACTGTAACTTAATATAAACTAAATTTAAGCTTAAGCAAGAAATGTTCATGAATATGCATTATTTATTTTTAAGCATTAAAATTTAATTTTAATTTAACAAAAGTTTGAACCTATTCTGCTATTTCTGAGTTCGGATAATCGAGTGCACATTTTATGTGAATTCATCCTGGTAAACTTGAGTTCGGATAATCGAGTAAACACTTTATATGAATCTGTGATAAGGTCGCATAAATCTATGACGAATGATTTCAAATTGCAAATTCAGAGTGCAATATAGGTGATGAAATCACGGGACTAAATGTAATTATTTAATTGTTATTAAAATAACATTAAGTTGCAAAAAAATAGTTTTTATTAAAATAATATTAAATTGCTGGCAATGTTAAAAACGCAGGCTCGAGAGCCACGTATGGCTCTCGCACGATTGATGTATAGAATTTGATTTTTTGAAAAAGATAAGTTAGTCTCTGCTTCTGAATTGTATGTAGCCATATTTTTAGCATTCAATAAATTTTTTATGCTGTGTTTGGTTTTCAACCTGATGTCACAACCCAGGGTTTGCATAGCGGTTTCGGCCACTACACCACAAACCCATTCGGGTAAACTTGAGTTCGGAAAATTGAATGTACACTGTGTACACTCTGGTATTTGTGTACTCGATTACTGTGGAGACAGTTTTCATTTCTTCTAAAAGTTAATCCTGAGGTATTTTTCAAATTTTAGGCAAGACCTTCTACGTCCTTGGCGGTTTGACATCATTCCAAAGGGACTTCATCGATGACGTCATCGTCCACGACGAAAGTAACGGCACCTGGCACGAATGTGCTCCCCTTCCAATCCCACTCTGTGGTTTCTCAGCTACCTCTGTTCCAAACGTAATATAGAATAAGTTTTGATCGAATAACAGTTAATACTTAGCATGAAAAGTACTCGTAAAATCTGAAATAATAAAAGCTGAATAAAATGTACCTTCCTTGTACGTGTGCTTGTTACGTTTATGATACTTCAAGAAAATAAATTCATCAGAGTTATATTGCACTCGACATGTCTAGAATTTAAACTCTTTTTATTATTACTTTCATTTATCCATTTTGCTCATTCTTTCTTCAGCGAACACATATCAGTTTTGTTTGGATTGGTTTAGTTGGTCATGGCAAAGCGCAGAACGGCTATCTGCCTAAAAGGCGGGTTATGAGAATTGTTTTCAATCGATGTAGCCAAAATGTCACATTTGTCTCTCGTGTTGTAAAAATATGTTGCTCGTGAGTTTCGCGACGGGAATGATGAAGTCATTTATTACTTTTGAATACTTTATTTAAAATAAGTTCGCCTAGCTAAATAAAATGTAATTTTAACTTTAGAAACAACTTCAGCAAGTGTTTTCAAATTTCAGGGCCACTCTATTACGTTACGCTAATATACCTTTTACCTTCCGCACATGATTCTTCAAGCGTTGGCATTTCAAGAAACACCAAATTTTAACTTTCACGCGGCAAGTAGCAAATTCTCATTGGGAATCCTAAGCATGTTTAGCATATTTTAGCCATTCGAGAAAGCAATAAATATATCAGTGGTTGCTCTTCCAAAAAAAGTGTAAAATCTTAAATTATTGCTTAAAATGTTTTTAAACTGTCACTAACAATTAAAAACAGTAAACGTGTTGTCACGAAATGTCTAGGCGCGGTAAGGTAGCTTACCCGCAAAGCAAGTTTAGGGTTGCCATAAAATAGCAGAGGGCAGGGTTCCCACATTTGGCGAGAAATCACACATTTGGCGATATTTGGCGACAAAATTGATGATAAACTATGGACGGTTGGAGAACCTTCTGGAACGAATTCCTACCGGTTTAGCCCAGAATGTTCCCGAACACAAGCCGAAAGCTATATAAACCCTGCTGGTCCACAGTCAGTTAGAGTGTGTGCCTCGCATAGAGTATCGAGAGAGTGCCTCGTCGAGAGGGCGAGTGCGAGATAGTTAGTATCGAGTTGGTGTTTCGTCTAGCGAGTGAATCCCTGCGGAGTCGATCGAGTTGACAGCCGGGCAGCGAGGGCCGAGTGGATCATCGAGTTCACCGAAGGAGTCTCTTAGTGTATCGCGGTTAGTGCATCATCGAGAGAGCGCGTTGAGCTCCGGGAACGACTGAACCGAAGAGTCGGGAGCCGTGCTCTGTGTCTCGTCGAGTTCATAGCGAGTTGTAGCGTGGAGAGTCTCGAGAACGACCAAGCAGAGTCGGGAGCTGTACTATAGTGCTTTGCAGTGAAGCTTTCTCCACAGGGATAGCCTAATAACCTGGAGGCTGTGTCGCTGATCGTGTCAGCGTGTTTATAGTAGTTCATCGACGACTGTAAGAAAGTGTTTTTCGAGCTATCCTGATTAATATTGGTAAATAAAGTGTGTTTCGATACTTCATCAAGTGTCGTCGTTATTCACTCCAAATCTACGAACCTTGTACGAACGTGAAGGAAGAAAATAACGTAACAACTGGTGACAGGAAAAGAAAACCGCAATAGTATTTTACTATAATATTTGAATTTTTATTTTCTCCTTCTTGAATAGTTCATCTAAAAACATTTTAAATACGTTTAATTTTTACCGTATCACATGATTTTTACGAACATGTAAACTGTGGTGGATTAATGACGAGGACTACCCTTTCACCTGAACTTTTGGCAGTTCTTAAAACACGCGGATTTGTTAAATAGTTAAGGTTTCGCAGACTCTTTAGAAAAAACAAGGTTTCTTTCAATTGTAATTTTCCTCAAATCTTTAAGCTTTAGATCATAAAAAATGCTTCCAGTGAGAGAATAATTTTTGAAGTCATGCAACAGAGAGATTTGTTTTCCAACAGAAACCTGAACTTAGACTAATTATTTTTTTAAAGTAATAATCATATGTTTCGCTTTAAAATGAGGGACTCTCAACTTTTCAAGTGACATGGATGAACTCAACTATATAAATCCGCCACTATTACGAACTTTGGTACAGAATAATTTTTTCTTTCCTTTTTAATATTGTTGTGTTCCTCGGGTTTGTGGATTTGGAGTGACTGATGACCCCAGTTTTATTCAGGACAGTTCCAAAAACACGTTAACAGTCGTCCAAAAGACTACGCTAAACACGCTGAAACAATCAGCAACACAGCCTTCAGCCTACAACTATGACGACAGTTTCACGGCAAAGCACTAAAGATAGCTCTCGACTTTATTCGGTCACTCTCAAACTAATCTCTGAACTCAAAACGCTACTACTGAACTCAACATACTCTTAAGATACTTTGACGATAGGCTGCTACTCCATGTACAGGCTATTTATAGCTTTCGACCTGCCTTCGAGAATATTCTCCGGAAAACCGGTAAGAATTCGTTCTAGAATGATCTCGCTCTGTCTATAGCATATCGCCAATTCTGTTGCTAAATGTCCGATTACGCGCCATCGGGTAACCCTGCCTTTCTTTGCCACTTTCTGGCAACCCTAATCCCCGCTTTCCTGGGAGCATATTTCACAAGTGCACATCTGTGTAGCCACTGAGGGAATGGCTTCTAGGAAGGACCAATGAGTATCGAGTAATATTTCTGTCATGTCACATGACCTTCGCGTGCTTTAAGATTTAAGCAAGATGGTTGAAAATATTCTGCCACGCAATTTTCTGTACAAAATAATTAAAGAATCGTCGATTACTTCTGAAACTTTCCATTGCGAAGTTAGATCAAATATAGGCAATTATGAAGATTTCACTACCTGGTTGAAATAAATATACAAACACATGTTGGATACTTCGCACAAATATCGATGTGAAATATTACTTAATAAGTGGTAAATAAGATGAAGAAAGAAATATGTGATAAACATCTGAGCCCAAATGCAATCTTTACATAAAACTATGCGTATGAGAAAAAATATTTACACCAATTATGTAATTAGAAGGCAGCACTTTTTATTTCAGTCTATATGAAAAAGATGTTCTATAATAGTAACCGATGCAGAATTTTATTCAAAGTGAACTTTACTAATTTGCATTTAGTGCGTTAAATTTCACATTTAATAAATGCTCACTCTTAAATGTACTGTCTACACAAGAAATACTCATCAAAGTCATCAAAGAGAGTGAATTTATCGTATTCACAACGAGTATTTTCAATTTATTCACATATAATTTTTAATGTTAACAATGGATATAATCAGATCCATATGTATTCTGAATCAAAATTAAAATTTGGATTTTTCACTTTCAAAATCAAAAGAATGCACGCACTGAAATAAGAAAACACTAGATTCATTGTAAAACTTCCAGTCATTCTCAGCTCAGTTTTTAAAAAAAAAACTGTACACTTGAATCCTCTTAATCCACAGGTGTTAGTATGCATAATATTCGAGGCTATAAGCTTTAGTGATTTTCTGGATGAAAGAGCGATCAATATGCCGTGAATATCAATCCAAATATAATGCGTGATAAAAATCGCGAAAGTGAAATGTCAGCGATTAATCAAACTCAGAAAACGAAATCACTACGAGATTTTCTACTATTACGCCATATATTTATAACTGTGAAACAAATGCAAATTAAGACGTAAACAACATACGCTGCTCACATGCACGAATATTTAGCGTCACAAGAGCAATAGCAGCTCATTGGTCCATTTTCGAAACCCCTCCCTCAGTGGCTACGCTGATGTGCACTTGTGAAATATGCTTCCGGGGAAGCTATCCTACCGCAGCTGGGCATTTCGCAACAACATACATAATAATGAATTTATAATAAATCTAAATGGAATTTTTGGAATATTTTCGAGTGTTATTATAATTAACAAAACACCTTTACTTTTGCCAAAAAAAAATAAATAAAATAAATAAATAAATAAAACATTTTTAGCGATTTTTTGGCCACATGGCATTGCAAAAATATGTGTTTTGTACTTTTTAAGGAAATAAAAAATTTATTTTCTTTTACTTGTGCAATATTTGTCAGAGTAAAACAAGCTGAACGAAAAAATCCGACTTTCTCCTTTGCGTTGCAATCAGTCCGTAGTTTGCTTGCAGAAAGGAAAAAGGCAAAGTAATTCTTTTGATATTCAGAAGCGATACACAGTAGTATTCCATCTTCGTTCTTAGAATATGATTGTGTTAAGTCAGAAAATGAAGAAATATGATTCTTTCAGTACTGCATTTTACGCTGCCTATTTCGTAATAAGGAATGTGGAAATTTCTGAAATAAAACTTGTTATGTATATTAATCATCAGTGAATTAAAAAAGGAAGCAGTCGGCTTTCTTCTTCCACACCCTTTCATTGACAAGCGCCATCTGAAGTGCGATACACAATCGAATTCCTACAACTGCTGCATCAACAAAATTGTCACCAGATTCAAATAAATGACAAGCAGGTGTTTCGGCGCTGAGTGTCGAGGAGACACAAACTGCATCTACCACTTGTTTTGTTCGGCGCTTTAAAGCGATCAAAATATGCCTATTGCTGAAAACATTTTTTTTTAAATCTTCATTTCTCATGAAAATATTCCGGAAACCTTTCTTAATACTGTTTAGTACGTGAATTTATTACAAAATTTTTAGATTAGTATTTGAATTCAAAGACAAACAATCATTGCCAGAAATTGAAAATAAAAGTGAAATAAATTTCAATATAATAGAGCCTAGATTATATGGAACTCTAGTTTCCAAAATTGCCGCCCAATCGGTATCGTGGTCAGGAAAGCTGACTGCGATGCCGAAGGACCTGGGTTCGAATCTCGGAGAAGGCATGGTTGTAACTGTCCGCTCCTTCATAGGTAAGGCGATAGTGGCCCACCTATTAGGTGCCTCCATGATAAATACACCACCACATCTGGCCTTGTATAGATTAACGAACTGGGTTACATTTGTAATTGTTGACAATCTGCCATTGGAAAAAAGAAAGTTTCCAAAATCGCTTCTTATTCTTTTGAATTAAACAAAAACACATTTGTTCTTAATTTATTCATATGTTTTAATATTA